TTGTTAGGGTATTTGCATTGCAAAGGTGTTCATTACTAGGGGCAGTGGATACTACCCCTCGGAGGTAGAACCTTTCAATACCCTTATCTAGCTCAGGGAACGCTAACCCTCCCCCACTATCACCTTTGCAGAGAGCGGTACCTGAAAATTATACGTCACCGATATATTGTTAATTTAGGTAATATCTAATCGATCTAATGTGGATTAAATCAGAAACTACGAACGTAGGTGAAGTTATATTTCGTCATATCTCTAGTTTTTTTTTTTTTATAATATAAGCAAACTCGCAAGCGGCCTGAATCCACTGAAATGGAAAGCGACCGCTGCCCATAAACATCCGCAATTGCAGCGTTGCCTCTCCTTAACTGACGGAGAAGGAGACGCACATAAAGAGGACATTTCCCCTGCCTATGCGTCTCGTTAAAGCGGGCTCTACCACTAGTTTAACTAATATTAAATAAAAATGGTAACAAGTTCCAAACTACTAAGTATCCTCATTCTTTTGAGTAATAATTAGTCTTTAGATATATGGTAGATTATCTTGCTTGATTATACTAATGATTGGATAAAGTTAAGAATGTGTACATTAGAGGAAGTTTGAAAGTAGCGCCAGTGGTGCAGAAACTGAGAAGCAAAAGGTTAGCGTGGTATGGACATATGCGACGAAACGATGGGGACATAAACCAGAAAGTGTTGAGATTGAATGTGGATGGCTACAAAGGAAGAGGAAGACTGAAGAAAGTATGGATTGTTTGAAAGAGGATATGCTTAAGAAAGGAGTGGATTCAGATATGACGGCTGATAGAGATGTATGGAAGAGCAGAACATACTGTGCCGACCCTCCATAAGGGATAAGGGCAAGTGGATGATATCTTACTAATACTATAAATGCGAAAGTTTAGATGGATGTTTATTAGAGTAGTAGATGTAGGGGATATTTTGGCAGAACATATAGGTTTCTTTTTAATTCCATATATAGCCGCGAGTGAAAGTCATTAATTTGAGATAGACAATTAAGAACAGCAGTCACGTCAAATTCCATCACTAACCGGCTGTCTATTAATAATACTAGACCGAATATGACGTTCCTAGATTCACAATTCGACTGTAACATTTACTATGTTACTATATTTAGTTGTGTACGGCCTAACAGTAATATGATAGATGTAGTTTGATAAACAAAAGCCATCTTACTAATATTACATCCCATTGGTAGGATGGAGGGATGTTTGTTAGAGTTTGTAGCCTAAACAGCTGAACGGATGTCAATGAAATTTGACATAGATGTAGAGGATAGTCTGGAAGAACACATAGGCTACTTACTTTAGAGTAATACGATAGATAAGTTTGTTAAACGACAGGTTACTAATATTATATCCAAAAGTTCAGATAGATTTTTGCTACAGTTTGTAGCCTAAACTGCTGAACGCATATCAATGAAATTTGTCATACATGTAGAGAATAGTTCTAGGCTATTTGCTTCTTTAACGCAGATGAAGTCATGAGCAATAGTTAGTAAATTTAAAACTCACCATTATCATATCCCGCGCATATTTTATCGCTAGTGATGTATTCTCTGAAGCCTGGAGGTGCTGTTGCGATACATTTCTCTATAGATACATAAGGAATGTTGACCACTTGTAAGGTCGACGCTGCTTTACCATCTATTGCTGTTAGACCCCAACCTGCCACCTGATAGGATACGAGATTTGTGAGCAAGAGTTCCACTTGACTTGTCAATAAGTTTGTGGCGATGTAACTGGCATAGACGAGTCTACGCATGTCAGGTATCAATGAAAAAAACAATGTCAGAGAGAGAGGTATGACTAGCGAGTAAGACATCATCATCATATCCCCGGCCTTATCCTACTCCCGTAGGGTCGGCGCACCGGGTTTTCGTCCTCCAAAGCATTCTATCATCCGTCATCTCAGTCATCACTCCCTTCTTGATCATGTCACCTTTCACGCAATCCATCCATCTCTTTCAAAGTAAGAGTAAGACAAAGGTAAATAAAGAATTATTAACTGATGTGTCTTTAGGTTCTTAGTGAATAGATATATGTTTAGTCAACACACAGTGACAGAGTAGACTTAGTCACCCCTAACTTAGGTAACTCCCCCTTATTAAGGACTTGCAGTGAGCTGGTTACTAATGTCTAGTTTAAGAGGAAGACCGAAGTAAGTATGGATGGATTGTGTGAAAGAAGATATGCTTAAGAAAGGAGTGAATTCAGATATGACGGCTGATAGAGATGTATGGAAGAGCAGCACATACTGTGCCGACCCTCCATAAGGGATAAGGGCAAGTGGATGATGATACACTCTATAGTTTGTCTAAATAATTTAGATTAGTTTGACAATTCATTTCAAATTTAGTAGGGATGGGTTGTGTAATCAGTCATGAATCTTATCGATTTTCGATTTTTATTCTTATAGAAGTTGGAATCGATAGATTTATAGTTATAACTCTTGAATTAAAAAAAAACAACGTTTTCTCAAATTAATAATGACCATAACAAATAATGAGAGTGAATAAATGTTTATTATTACTACAGCCGTACGTAATCGAATTGCATTTCGCTATTACTTCTGTCATCGCTAAATTCTTTACACTATAATCAATACTAGAATTGTCCTTTAAATTAGTTAATAAGAAAATAATAATTTTAGTTGAGTTCGATAATTATTTAAACCGAATATCGATAGTTCATAATTGTTCGCTGCGTGTTTGTTTCGTCACTACGATACCTGTCTATTAAGTACGGCAGCCTTCACATAAATTGCTTGATACTTCATATGCGTCATTTATCAAACTAATCTATCTTATTTAGACAAACTATAGTATCTATAATTAAGAAACTCTGTCAAGAGAGAAAGGGACAAAAACTACAAGCCAATAATAAACAAGCAAGATTCTAAAGCAACGCTAATTGACTAATTATTGACTAATGGCAGACATTCATTTAGACATTTGTAATTAAATGTTTTACGTAATGAAAACAATGAAATGAAGTTATTATAATGCGTTAGAGCTAAACGGAAACTAGTTTAAACTCTTGTTCTTCATCATCATCCATTTGCCCTTATCCCTTATGGAGGGTCTGCACAGTATGTGCTCCATACATCTCTATCAGTCATATCTGAATGCACTCCTTTCTTAAGCATATCCTCTTTCACACAATCCATACTTTCTTCAGTCTTCCTCTACCTTTGTAGCCATCCACATTCATTCTTAACACTTTCAGGTTTATGTCCCTCGTCTCGTCCCATATGTCAATACCACGCTTACCATTTGCTTCTCAATTTCCCCACCACTGGCGCTACTTTCAAACTTCCTCTAAACACATTCTTAACTTTATCCATTCTTGTCACACACATCTATCTTAACATACGCATCTCAGGCACATGCAATCTCCTATCATCCTCAAATTTGGTGGCCCAACATTCAGATCCATACAATACGACAGGTCTTATGATGGACTTGTAGATCTGTCCCTTAAGCTTGAGAGGCATTCTTGGATCACAAGTCGCACCGGTAACCTGGCGCCATTTCATCCAACCTGCATTTATTATTTGTTGTTCTTATGAACTGATTTAAAGAAGGTTAAGAGCCTGTCCCAATACTGGCTGATAGAGGCTCGGATAGTTTAATGACGTCACTGTCAGGGGTTACATAATCCGATATATCCATCATATTGTCGCGACGTCATCTATTGATGAGTAGCGAAAATCATATTCGAGGAATAATCGAGCTGTTTCCAGAATGTTCGATCGCCGCGAGCAGCGAAAATGACGTTCGCGAAAAGATTTCTCGAACATTAGAAACGGCTTCGAGAAAGTTCTGGAATAAAATGACAAATGAATAACGAAAAGAAGATCGAAATTCGGGGTATATAAGGGGAGTCAGTCGTGACTCGGGGAGTGATACGGAGGAAAGTGTACTGTGAAGAAGAAGTCCTGAGCGAATTACGAAGAAGACTAAGTGACCGCGGAGTGAAAGTGCTAGTGAATAGTGACAGTGGTGTTAGTGATTCAGTGTTTGCGTGCATCGTGTAGTCTTAACGAACGATTTGTGAGTGCAGTGAATCCTTGTTATTGAAAGTCGCGAATAAATTAACGCAGAAATTTCCAAGGCGTTTTGACTCTATCCCTCAAGCTCGTAACAATAATTTACACGTTGGATTAGACAATTTAGAATATGGGACAGGCCCTAATCTTACCTTGCCTATCTTATCCGGTTGCAGCTGTCGTCTATTGAAGTTGATATCGAAGTCCATACAGACCGGTCTTACATAATATTTGTACTCTATCCTAGTCTTCAGTATAACTAAAGCTATGTCGTCTTGATAATTGGAAGCTGCTCCTTGAAAACGAGGCGGGATTTTGATCTCTTTTACCTGAAACAGTTATATTTTTAATAGGATAGAAGTAAGACAATGTTATTGTTAGAGTTTTAAACCCATAGATGTACTGAATAAACATAAATTTAGCTGTCGCCCGCGACTTTGTCTGCTAGACACTATGAAGACTATGTGTTCTTGCAAG